ACCAAAATGAAGAGATAAATTACAAAAACCACGGTCATCCTTGGCGTATTAGTTCTTATTTAAAGCTCTCCATGAATTGTAAGCTTGCTTGGAACTTCTTTATAACATCTGTATTAACGTTAATAACCCTAACAATGGCAACAAAAATTATACCAGACACTAATTCAAACGCTTGAAAACTATGTGAATCCAGAGAAACATATTGGCGTATTCCCTAGTAGGTACTTCGGTAATGGATTTCAGAAACTAAGAACTCACGCTCAGGAAGTAAAATGGTAGAAATTGTATTAGTGTAACACTTAATTTAATTAATATCTATGTAAATATCTCACTAATAACAGTTAAATTATTATCAAAACCGTTTATTAAAAGTATAAGAAAGATTTCTGGCAAACTGAAAATTTGAAAGATGGCACAATTTTTTTAAGTTGTTTTTTAGTATACACACGTGTCACCGTCAACAAGACCCTTAATTTCCACCACTAACACCCACCTCTTTGCAAAACTTCACCCCTACTTGTCTCCAAAAAATTCTATTCTGTCGCCATCCTTGACGAACGGAATATTCATGGAGCAAAGAACCGCGCAACCCAAACGATGGTTTTCTCGCATTCAAGACGCTTTTATTCAGAACGTTGCGTTTCTCGATAACCAAATATACGCGAAGACGAATTTTAATCTTCAAGGACGCAGCTAACAGCCAGGATATTGCCTACATGAAGAAGCTTTTTCGGTTCATGTTACATCGGCTGCATTTATTCGATTATTGGCACTTTTCTTTCGGATATGTATTTGCTGGAAGTGGGCGGGTTAGAAAACCTCGGAAAACGCTATGCAGACTCACTAACAACTCAACTTTTGCTGTTCGTTTCGTTTTGTTGATGCATCTGCTGCAAGAACATGTAGTCAGAAAAAGAAAAACGCACGATGCAATCCTCTGGTGAATTTTAATGTGCTGGGTGGTCTTCGAAGGTTTTACTAAGTAAACACATAATGGTTTTATTCAACTTCTGCTAATGAACGTGCAATGGTCGTTATAAAGTCTTGTAAAAGTATTAACTTATTTAAAAAAATATGATGTATTTTCTTGCAGAATGGACTCACAATTAACAATTACGATTACCTCGAGATTTAAGTGATGACTGTCACACGCGTTGTCTATGACATTTTACTATTTCGTATTTATTGTATCGTGGAGACAATAATTTTGTCAAAAATGTTAAAAATTATGTCATTTATTTAATTTAAAAAACGAAAGTAAATTTGAAAGTAGTGTACTGCATCAGAAAAAATGCGTCATGTCAATTCCATCATTTATTCCTAACGATATAAATAAGAATATGGAAGCTATTGAAGAGTTAAGATTTGTTAAGTTTATTTTCGTTGCATAATAATATTAATGTTCAATTTAAATAGCTATTGTTCTTTTATAACTAAGTTTAATTTAATCAATTTAAGCTTAACTATCAATTAATTTAGAATGGCATTTTAGTCACTGTTATCCAGTTACACTTCTAGTAAAATCAAATTGGTTTAAATATTGTAAACCGTGCTTCCGTCGCCCTTTGATTGATGAAAAATATACTTTCACTCCATTCTAAATACAAATATATTCTGCTTGTGTTCTAATCAGAGAAGAGATTTTTGTTCCATACGATCTAGTAGTCACCAAAGTTTCAGAAGAGTTTTTTCTTTCTAAAATATAAGCGTATACTTATTAAATTTGATTATTAGTATATTACATATCGAGGGTGGTAAGAAGCTAATTACGAACGAAGTTTATACACGAGCGAGCGTAGCGAGCGAGTGATGTAATATGAGTTCGTAATTAGCTTACCTCCAGAGTTGTGTCATATACTTTTTCTACGATCTATAATGAAGAATCACTTTCAGAAGAAATTTTTTTGGGAAAACAAATATTTATAGTTGCTATGGAAACTATTCAAACAGGCACGTAATATATATATATATTACGTGCCTGTTCATTCATTACATGCCAGTGGGTGTAACTATGGTTTTACTATGAGGCTAGACAGTTCGTAATTCATGGATTACTATGTGGGAGTAGAAAAACATTTTTTTTACAAATATACATTTATTTAACTTTAAGCTTAATGTCTTACTAAGATATCAAATGGGTTTGTTATATAGGTTCTAAGACAAATTCTAAAATTTTATTTTCCATTTTTTTAAACAATAATCCTCATACGTAAGGTCAAAAATGTGAATAGAAATTTCACGCAGTAAAATTTTGAAATGACGTTTTCAAATTTTTGGTGGGGATGAGCGAGCAAATTTTGATTTTGATTAGTGTTTCACAATAATTTTAACATACATCTACAACTTCGCAATAATCAGTTTAATAATTTCGAAGATTAGGTTTTTGTCTAATAAAATCGTTTTCATACCTTACAAATTGCGAAACATGAATTTGAACATTCTTAAATGACACAATTAAAATACTTCATTATCTTACTCTCGGAAAGTGAAAAGCTAACTTACTACCGAAAGATACCTTCATTTATTTACAAACAAAATTTTATTTCAAATTAAAAAGACATTTATTTTTTACATATGTTTATTTCATTGGTAGCATTTACTAAGATTTTGCTGCTGTATTTAGAAGATTTTAATAAAATTCAGATATAATTATTTTTCTGTAGCAGAGCCTACAGTCATGTAGATATGCATGCTAAGTATCAGTGTTGTTAAAACGCAAACGAAAATCGTGTTGCCAATTGCCCCCATACAGCTGCTGATTGCTTAAAATTTTGTAATTATTTAAATAAAACGATCCTAAAAAGCAGTCAAGTCTAGTTTAATGAATAAAGTTATTTTTTATCGTACCTTCTATTAAGTTCAAGTCAAAATATAGACATGTATTATTAAACTACAGATAAATAAGTGTGCTATGCGAATACATATTTCAAGTAAGATTTTCTTTACAAAATTTTATGATAACGTCATTAACAAATTTGAGTCGATACAATGTAATACAACGTAATAATAATACAACAGTACCATTTTCCATATTATTTTTACATTTATTTTTTGACACATCCCATATATGCAATTGAAAAATAAAAGGTATAAAGGCAGTACATGTGTAGAACAAGTATTTTCGTCAGTTTAAATAACATATACTTAATTCACAAAATTTTTAGATAACGTGATCAAATTTGTGGAAAGGATGAATAGGTAAATTCTGAAATAGCGTTAAAGTGTATGCAAAATTTCAAAGCAATTGATTTGTAATTTCTAAAATAAATTGTACGATTTTGTTACAAAATTGTGAATTTTTCCCCAAACCCCAACATGCACAATGTAAAACTGGATTAATATAGCGCAGATAAGCAAGTATATTATTTTGCACGTACTCGACAGGATTTATTTAGCAAAATTATGAAATGACGTCATCACATTTTTCGTGTGGATAAGCAGACAGATTTTGCTGACCGTTTTATCATTTATACGATACTCTTGAAACAAATTTAAAATTTCGTAACAATCTACAGAGTAGTTTCGGATAAAATCACCAACGGACGACAGACAGACCGAAACGGGAGATCCACTTTTTCATATTCTAGAAGCTATGATACGTTGAGAAAACATGAAATTAACAATTCATCACATGGCCCTTGCGATCGAAAAGTTACAACAAAAAATTTCAGGTATCCCGAACAACGTCATCATGATAACTTGATATGAAACATTCTGCAAAATTTACCAAGTCAGATCTGTAAATCCTGTTTGCCTCAAGCCTCAAAACTGAATATCTCCATTAACAACCAATTGTTAAAGTATGACTTTCATTATCAAAAGTTCTACTATCATCGTTTCTAGGAATCTGAATCTGAAGAAATTTCTTAAGGTGTTCTCTTACTCTTCGGCTCAAATCTGCAACAACTTCAGTCTTCATCTCTAATATTGGATCTATCTAACAATTTGTCCTTGGTTATACTTCTGGTGGACATACGAGATTGATAAGAAAACTTCACTTGAGATTAAACCATTCCAATGTAAAAATTACTTTATTGAAAACCACGTACGTTTATTTTAAAATTTCCAAGAAATAAGTACACTATTGCAAAAATTAATTAGCCTTTGAGAATTTAAGTTGGTATGAAACGAGAAAATATTTTTATCTCTGCTACCTCTGACATGACAATTACTTACAGATACTCTGTACAAATATCCATGATTATAATTTTTCAGACATATTTTTTGTATATGGGAGGGTGTTTCACAAGCAAAATAAAAATGTCTAAACAAATTTGAATCGATTTTTTTTACAACACGTGTACTTGAAAATTTTTTTGATAAAATGTACCATAATTGGGTAAAATGATTTTTGAGAGCATAAACAACTTTAATTTGTTTTTAACATACAGCTATAGAGAAAAAATTGTCGCAAGTATCTTTCGGCTGTTACTGTTTTTTTGTTGTTGTTGTTGAATCATTCCCATATTATATCCATACACCGCATTATCACCAGCTTAAACATCCGTTGTTAAACTATATTGATTTATTTTTTATTTTTGATCTGGTTCATTATATTTCAAATATGCATTTTTACTAAGATTACAATCCTAAATTCGACTAACATGTCGTTCCTTCCGTAGGAAGCAGTCACTAACTCTCTTTTTATTTTATTTTTTTCCCCTTCTGGGTATGATCAACACCATGTTACTGTTATCTGGATATTTTTTCTTCATTTTTAATCAAAGATAAAAAATATTTAAAATTTGTAACTACTTTTATTTTGTGAATTTGGAAATTTATTTTATTTCACAATGCCAAAGAAATGAGTCAGAGGAAATCGAAACGGATATGACAATATTAAGTATCTTTTAATTTTCTACTCTATTAAACCGCGAATACAATTGCTGAAAAGTATTCAAAGGGATAATGAGATAATTCACTTGATTCTCTTCATGAAACCCTACAACAGCGCCCCTTAACGTCTGGAAGAATAAACATTCTGCTACACTCCTGCCACAGTGCAGAAATAATTCCTGATTTTCTTCGCGCATGACCTGCAGAAGCTGGAGTTAATCGATCTTGAATGTTCATCGTTGCTATGTAAGCCGAAATAAAAATTTCTAGGTAAGTGTATTTTTAGTATCATTGTAGTATTTTGCACTGGCGCGACAAATCCCTTAATCCACCCTTAATGTAACAGGTGCTTAGTAAATTCGACCCTTCATATAAAGCTTTCAATTCATGATCCAAGGGGGTACCCTTGAAGGCACTTGAGGCCGACACTTTGAACGCACATATGCGCACACGCCCTCTATCTGTAACAAGAGATGTTATCGGACTCTAATGACCCTCCCCGGGGGTCACAGAGGAACCCCTTCATTAGCCCGTCATTACATATCTACAACTTGTTCCGTCAACACTTCGATTTCAATGAAATTCAATAAAAGTCTGTCAGATTGTGCGGTTCTCCCCTCGATAGTTGCACCCCAAATGTTTTGTTTACAGTTGCTGAGATGAGACTGAAAAGATGATTCCTGGGTTTTTTCTATTAATGATTTGGCTGAATGCGACTGAAGGTAGAGGCCCCCATCATCCCAGAGGCGAACCTGTGGTCAAACATGTGCATTATAGGCCCACCAAAACACAACCTGAAAAAATTACCCAAGATAAGGAGCTTCTACACGACAAGGAGCACTTACAAGTAAGACATTAAAATGAAGTCACTGCTACAATTTAAAAAAAAATTAAATTTAAATAAAACCGACGTAAATATTTGTTCACAACTTCCGATGTCTCTGGAGCATCCAAAGTAGTCTATGTGTGTCAAGCAAATTTTTAAGCGAAAACTGGTTTAGCTCGATATTTTTGGAACACTATGATCGACTTTTTATAACAACAATAATTTTGTTCTCCATGAGATAATTGAAAAAAGTGTAATAAAACTGAAATTAAAATTGCTTATCATTTTTTTTAACTGTAGGACTTTCGTACGAAAACTTAAAAGAAATCTATTATATGTAAGATAAAGTGTAAAATTTAATAGTCCACCCTTTATTGTCCAATAATAAACGTTAAAGGCAGGGATAAATGAATAAAACACCGATAGGAGGATTATTAAGGAAGGTATCACGCTGCACATTTTAAGTCCCATTTACTTCACAGATTTTTTAAATGATCTTGTCGATCTAGATCTCCTATAGAGAAAATATAGAATTACGAATTAGTATTTTAGGACAGGTGCCAGACTGAAACGGAAAATTAAAATTCTCGCATTCTACGAATTGTGCAATAACAAAATTATACTACTACCAGTTACGCAAATAAATATTAGATTTTATATAACAATTATAAAGTCAGAGATGGAATTTAAAGTGGACACCGCCCGAGGTGCATCACCGTTTTTACTTTAGAACTAATAAAAAAAAATTAAGAAAGGAAATACTGCCGTCATGGCAAACTTCTATATTTCTCTCGGTGTTTCGCAGGTCTAAAAGTACGAAAGTACAGGATTTTCGTTTCTGCCTTTTTATCTGTTGATAATTTATTTGAAAAATATCTTCACTGTTTTTAGGTTTAAACTCAGATACTTTACCTAAGTTATTACTATTAGCGACGGATTTTATTTTATTTTATCTTGTGATCATGAGATACAATTGTCAAAATTTTTGAAATGACTTCTATAGCAAACAAAAGCAGGCGAAATTCTAACTTTAATTCAAAATTCTAGCCTAAACTCTTCGAATAAACCTCAAAATTTTCGTTAGGATAATAAAAGACTATGTAAATTAATAATCTGTTTACTATTTCCAAACATTCTTGTCAAAACAGTCTTGTTAAATAATTCTTACCTAAAATGTGCGGCGTGATATACACTTGAAGTTAACGAATGCAATGGGAATTGTCTTTTGGACAACGAGTTGCCTACCACTCATTTGCAGATTATAGACCACTAACTAAAAGAAAGTTGTTGTCATTTCAAAAAAATATAGTAAACAACTTTATTCAAAAACAAACCTTGAGGCATGATATTAAATTTTGTTTTGCATTTTACCACTTTTCTCAGTAAGTTGTTAATTTGTGCTGTAAAAGTAAACATTATATTGGTTAAAATGTTAAGATTCATAAAAAAAGGTTTTGAATTATCATTTTAAATTGTCACTTTTAACAGCATTATTTTAATCGAATCATTAACACAATGATGGAATTCAAACATAAATGAAGAAATTTTACTGAAAGAAGGTAATATATAATTTGTGTTCGAAATGCAGTTCAAAAACCTCTGAGCAATATGCCAAACATTCATAAAACGCATGTCGAACGAAAGTGTCGCACCATGTCACACTGGTTGTGGTCTTGCTGGCGTGGGACGATGTGGAAATGCTGTAGGAAAATTTTACGCAATATCTCTTGTCTATAAACCTTTAATGTATGGAGAGAGCATTTTCACTTTTTTTTATTATCGACGAATTTCGACCAGTAAAAACCGATAATAACCCTGTTAAAAATGCCCAATCAAATCCAATATAACCCAATCTAAGTTAGATTGGACCAGATTGTGTTTGATTGGGTTAATTGGGATTCAATTTGAACTTATATTGGATTTGATTGGGCAAACACAATTAAGGGCTTTGATTGGATTTGATTGGATTTGATTGTGAAAATTGGAAATAATTGTGTATTACCAATAAAAACATCTAAAAAGCAAAATGTGATGTAATAAATACAATTTAGGTTTGGAGTGTGCTAGAACGTGCAAATGGAACATTTTATTTTATTTTATCACTAACATTGATGTCCCTAATATAAATAATTTTGTTGCTTTCGTTTAGATTCCCAAAATGGCTTTGAGTTATCATTTACAATAAAATGCCGTAAAAGATAATTATTTATTATGGAAATAAAACGCTTATTGAAACGATTATAACGAAAAATACAATTATTTGAAAAAAGCACCCCCTTCACGAATAGAATAAGTTGTTAACATTTTATTACCCGAGAACAAGGCTCGAAAGAATTCTGAATCGATCACAAGAATATACATCTATATGCATATTCAAAAAAATTGCATAAATATGTTCTGCGTATTAGCAACCCCCATAGGGGGGTCGACGGGGAACGTAACCACCCACTTCGATGAGAAGTCGTAAAGAAACACATTACGCAACCATTTTGCATCCTACGGCAACGATACGGACCGTAGGTGCCTCAATTTCACGTTTAAACGACGGTCACAGTGTCGCCCAATCTGGCCCAATCAAATCCAATCCCAAATTGGGGGCGCCCAATCAAACCCAATCTGCGAATAATTCGCACGCCAATCGCACAAAGAAGGTAAAAAATGACCACCACAATGGTCACGTGGTACGCAAGCAAACATATTATCACTATTATAGCGAAAAATAATTTGTTTTTAATAAACAACCCTTTTACGCGGGTTTGAGTGTTAATATTATCCGACAGGAGTATATTTTTGGGAAAAAATTCTGTGTTCGACACGATAGGATTTATGACGATAAGCATACTCAAAAAAAATGCATAAATATTGTCTGCGTATTAGCAACCCCCATAAGGGGGTCGACGGAGAACGTAACCACCCACTTCGATGAGAAGTCGTAAAGAAACACATTACGCAACCATTTTGCATCCTACGGCAACGATACGGACCGTAGGTGCCTCAATTTCACGTTTAAACGACGGTCACAGTGTCGCCCAATCTGGCCCAATCAAATCCAATCCCAAATTGGGGGCGCCCAATCAAATCCAATCTGCGAATAATTCGCACGCCAATCGCACAAAGAAGGTAAAAAATGACCATCACAATGGTCACGTGGTACGCAAGCAAACATATTATCACCATTATAGCGAACAATAAACCTTTTTTAAAAAACAACCCTTTTACGCGGGTTTAAGTGTTAATACTATCCGACCGGAGTACATTTTTGGGCAAAAATTCTGTGTTCGACACGATAACGTTTACATCGATAAGCATACCAAAAAATATGCATAAATATTGTCTGCGTATTAGCAACCCCCATAAGGGTGTCGACGGAGAACGTAACCACCCACTTCGATGAGAAGTCGTAAAGAAACACATTACGCAACCATTTTGCATCCTACGGCAACGATACGGACCGCACGTGCCTCAATATTACGTTTGAACGACGTTCACAGTGTCGCCCAATCTCGCCCAATCTGCGAATAATTCGCTCGCCAATCGCACAAAGCAGGTAAAAAATGACCACCACAATGGTCACGTAGTACGCAAGCAAACATATTATCACTATTATAGCGAAAAATAATTTGTTTTTAATAAACTACCCTTTTACGCGGGTTTAAGTGTTAATATTATCCGACAGGAGTATATTTTTGGGTAAAAAATTCTGTGTTCGACACGATAGGATTTATGACGATAACTATACTCAAAAAAATGGCATAAATATTTTCTGCGTATTAGCAACCCTCATAAGGAGGTCGACGGAGAACGTAACCACCCACTTCGATGAGAAGTCGTAAAGAAACACATTACGCAACCATTTTGCATCCTACGGCAACGATACGGACCGTGGGTGCCTCAATATTACGTTTAAACGACGGTCACAGTGTCGCCCAATCTGGCCCAATCAAATCCAATCCCAAATTGGGGGCGCCCAATCAAATCCAATCTGCGAATAATTCGCACGCCAATCGTACAAAGAAGGTAAAAAATGACCACCACAATGGTCACGTGGTACGCAAGCAAACATATTATCACTATTATAGCGTACAATAAAACTTTTTTAAAAAACAACCCTTTTACGCGGGTTTAAGTGTTAATACTGTCCGACCGGAGTATATTTTTGGGAAAAAATTCTGTGTTCGACACGGTAAGATTTATGACGATAAGCATAATCAAAAAAATTGCATAAATATTTTCCTGCGTATTAGCAACCCCCATAAGGGAGTCGACGGAGAACGTAACCACCCACTTCGATGAGAAGTCGTAAAGAAACACATTACGCAACCATTTTGCATCGTACGGCAACGATAATGACCGTAGGTGCCTCAATATTACGTTTAAACGACGGTCACAGTGTCGCCCAATCTGGCCCAATCAAATCCAATCCCAAATTGGGGGCGCCCAATCAAATCCAATCTGCGAATAATTCGCACACCAATCGCACAAAGAAGGTAAAAAATGACCACCACAATGGTCACTTGGTACGCAAGCAAACATATTATCACCATTATAGCGAACAATAAAACTTTTTTAAAAAACAACCCTTTTACGCGGGTTTAAGTGTTAATACTGTCCGACCAGAGTATATTTTTGGGAAAAAATTCTGTGTTCGACACGATAACGTTTACAGCGATAAGCATACCAAAAAAAATGCATAAATATTGTCTGCGTATTAGCAACCCCCATAAGGGGGTCGACGGGGAACGTAACCACCCACTTCGATGAGAAGTCGTAAAGAAACACATTACGCAACCATTTTGCATCCTACGGCAACGATACGGACCGTGGGTGCCTCAATATTACGTTTAAACGACGGTCACAGTGTCGCCCAATCAGGCCCAATCAAATCCAATCCCAAATTGGGGGCGCCCAATCAAATCCAATCTGCGAATAATTACCTGCTTTGTGCGATTGGCGTGCGAATTATTCGCAGATTGGGCGAGATTGGGCGACACTGTGAACGTCGTTTAAACGTAATATTGAGGCACGTGCGGTCCGTATCGTTGCCTTAGGATGCAAAATGGTTGCGTAATGTGTTTCTTTACGTCTTCTCATCGAAGTGGGTGGTTACGTTCTCCGTTGACCCCCTTATTGGGGTTGGTAATTTGTAGAAAATATTATGCAATTTTTTTTGGTATGCTTATCGCTATAAACGTTATCGTGTCGAACACAGAATTTTTTCCCAAAAATATACTTCTCTCGGATAATATTAACACTTAAACCCGCGTAAAAGGGTTGTTTTTTAAAAAAGGTTTATTGTTCGCTATAATAGTGATAATATGTTTGCTTGCGCACCACGTGACCATTGTGGTGGTCATTTTTTATCTTCTTTGTGCGATTGGCGTGCGAATTATTCGCAGATTGGATTTGATTGGGCGCCCCCAATTTGGGATTGGATTTGATTGGGCCAGATTGGGCGACACTGTGACCGTCGTTTAAACGTAATATTGAGGCACCCACGGTCCGTATCGTTGCCGTAGGATGCAAAATGGTTCCGTAATGTGTTTCTTTACGACTTCTCATCGAAGTGGGTGGTTACGTTCTCCGTTGACCCCCTTATTGGGGTTGGTAATTTGTAGAAAATATTATGCAATTTTTTTTTGGTATGCTTATCGCTGTAAACGTTATCGTGTCGAACACAGAATTTTTTCCCAAAAATATACTTCTCTCGGATAATATTAACACTTAAACCCGCGTAAAAGGGTTGTTTTTTAAAAAAGGTTTATTGTTCGCTATGATAGTGATAATATGTTTGCTTGCGCACCACGTGACCATTGTGGTGCTCATTTTTTATCTTCTTTGTGCGATTGGCGTGCGAATTATTCGCAGATTGGATTTGATTGGGCGCCCCCAATTTGGGATTGGATTTGATTGGGCCAGATTGGGCGACACTGTGACCGTCGTTTAAACATAATATTGAGGCACCTACGGTCCGTATCGTTGCCGTAGGATGCAAAATGGTTGCGTAATGTGTTTCTTTACGACTTCTCATCGAAGTGGGTGGTTACGTTCTCCGTCGACCTCCTTATGGGGGTTGCTAATACGCAGGAAAATATTTATGCATTTTTTTTTGAGTATGCTTATCGTCATAAATCCTATCGTGTCGAACACAGAATTTTTTCCCAAAAATATACTCCTGTCGGATAATATTAACACTTAAACCCGCGTAAAAGGGTTGTTTTTTAAAAAAGTTTTATTGTTCGCTATAATGGTTATAATATGTTTGCTTGCGTACCACGTGACCATTGTGGTGGTCATTTTTTACCTTCTTTGTGCGATTGGCGTGCGAATTATTCGCAGATTGGATTTGATTGGGCGCCCCCAATTTGGGATTGGATTTGATTGGGCCAGATTGGGCGACACTGTGACCGTCGTTTAAACGTGAAATTGAGGCACCTACGGTCCGTATCGTTGCCGTAGGATGCAAAATGGTTCCGTAATGTGTTTCTTTACGACTTCTCATCGAAGTGGGTGGTTACGTTCTCCGTTGATCCCCTTATTGGGGTTGGTAATTTGTAGAAAATATTATGCAATTTTTTTTTGGTATGCTTATCGCTGTAAACGTTATCGTGTCGAACACAGAATTTTTTCCCAAAAATATACTTCTCTCGGATAATATTAACACTTAAACCCGCGTAAAAGGGTTGTTTTTTAAAAAAGTTTTATTGTTCGCTATAATAGTGATAATATGTTTGCTTGCGTACCACGTGACCATTGTGGTGGCCTTTTTTTACCTTCTTTGTGCCATTGGCGTGCGGACTACTCGCAGATTGGATTTGATTGGGCGTACCCAATCTAATTTATATTGGGCGATCCCAAAATAATTTTGATTGGATTTGATTGGGCATTTTTAACAGGGAATCGAACGAGTAATCAGATTTTAGAATCGTCAGGTGAATGTCCGTTTCTACGTGGTTGCCTACAATATTACCAACAACGCAAATATTTTTTTATGTCCTTTAATTAACTATAACGGTTAATAAAATCGAAATAAGATGAGCCAAATTAGATCCAGTAAAAATTTCAACTCTGAATCTTTACTCAAATATAAGTTAACATACAGTGTAAAGTTTAACATGGGAAATCCCATGGCCACTTTTTAAAACGATGCACTGTATGTATCTACGAGACAAATCACTTCGGACACCATTTTTCTGTCATTTCAAAAATTTGAATGTAGTCTGTGCTTTATTGTCACGTTTGAACCTGAAACGATTTGTCATGTCGGATGCAATGTCAAAAATGACAAAACAAAAAATATAAGATTACAGTAAAGGTGTTTCACACTTTGTGAGAATGGAATGACATTGACCTCCGAAATGATTTGTCCACGACTCTTAAACCGACTAAGAAGTTGATGCTCTTTAAAATTAGAGAAATATCTTGATAGAAGAGTCCTACGAGAATAATTATGTCTTTAAGGGTTGTCCATAATCACTGAAATTCGTTATTACGCAACCTTTCAGGAACATCTCGAAGAAATCATTAACGAACCTGATTTATCGAAAATGACAGATGAGGAGCTGGAATTCTATTATTTCCAAGTTCATGACACGGACAAGAATTCGAAACTCGATGGGTTAGAAATTCTGAATGCGATTTTGCATACGACTCATGAAGAAGAGAAAAAAGATGACATACAAGCCGAGGAAGACGATTTTGAATATTACGTAGGTATGTGAGCCTTTAAATCCAACTTTTAGTTTGGTTGCTACAGAAAATTATTGTTTTTTAGAACTGATTGATCGTGTTTTGAAGGAAGATGACCTAGATAAGGACGGTTATCTGAGTTATCCTGAATTTACTTCTGGGCGACGAAATGCTATATTAGCTGATAATAAAAACCAAGTTTCCGTTAAAATGGTTTAAATTTTATCATTATATGTATTGTGAAGCGGTAAACAAAAACCTCCTCAAGTAGCTGCCCTGCCTGGCTCATCCTCTGCTACTTAACATTGGGGAATGAGAAAAACAACTAAAAAGTTGGAGCCAATTTGAGGATGATTTTTCTTGATCGTACATTGGATTTATGAAATTATAATGATTATAAACTACGTAATAAATTATAAGATTTTAATATTTGGTACCACAAGTCGTATTTTTTTAATCTAACAGATTTGATATTTACAAACGCGAAAATAACGTAATATTATAATAACAAGAATATGAGGAACAAAATGATCATTTGCTTGTAAAGAAAAGTTAGTCATTAATTGCGTCATCTACGAAAAAGCAAGAAAAAGAACCAACAACACGTACCTACATTGTTTTTATATAACATAAAAAAAAAACAAGATTCAGTTCCTTATTCAAAACTTTTAAATACACTAAAACTATTTCCAAAATTGTTCTTTCCTAAATATGGAACAGAATTTTGGAAGACAAAACTCCAAATCACTTTACAAACTATAATCATTAAACTCTATCTAATAGTCACTAGAAAATTTTTAAGAAAATTACTTCAGCCGCTTTATTTGGTAGTTAATTATTTGTTTGATGTCCTCAACAGTTGCAACAATGAATTTTACATAGAACCCACCATAAAACTGAAAACATTATGACTGGCTGCACATAAACCGCATAAAGTTAAATACAAAACCCAAGTGATTATTGAAGGCGGCCAAAAACTACTCCCTCATGTAAAACAAAACAGTGAAGTAATCCAAAGGCAAAGACGAAGTGATACATACATTTTTTTCAGCAATATTCTCACATTCAGAACCAAAACACAACTTAAATAACCTAGGAAGACATAAGTGGTGGCTAAAGGCTTCTGAGAACTATTAAGCGATCAAATCATCCATGATGCATTTTTATTGACGGTGGAGGAATAGGTACACTACAATTTATATGCATATATAGAGGGTTTTTTGTCTGAAATTCAAGATCAAGTTATCTACACAAATAAGCACACAAGATTTATTTGCAAAGATTTAAGAGTAAATAGTGACTGTTATGGATTTTGCAAAACCCAAAATCATTTCTTTTTATGCTCTCCACGAAGTGAGTATGAAGTTCAATTTGTGTTTAGTCATCTCAAATAAGGTTCGAATAATTTTGTTTGAAAATTAAAAAAAATGAGAAAGCTGTGTTAGATATTAAGAGCACATCATATTTTTCGTGAATTTCTCGAATAAAATTAGAGATAAACCTCTTGCTACTTATTTAGGTACTGCATTTAGGTAAGTATGTCTACACGATACCTGGTTATAACAAAAATTAATATCGTTTGTGAATGTAATTTTAAATTAATTAATTTACAACAAATAATGAAACTGCCCTAATTTTTATGCGTAAAACGAAAACGCAACGCAAAAACGAAGAACCACAAATAAACTAAACGAAATATGGAAATCCAAACTACAGATGTGACAGATGATCCTCTGTCTCCGGAGTTGTATTCCCGAAAAAAAGACGATGAACAAGTACCTAGAGGGATGTTTTTGGAACACTCATTAGAAAAGGTCCGTTTAGCACTACGCAGACTAGATCGGAGTCGAATAGATCACTTGTTAAGTTATCCTGGATGAATGATTGGTAATTATGCATGGCTTGCTACGGTGAGACGAAGTGAAAGAATAGCACAAGATCAATATGCTGAAATTATAAAATTTGAACGTGATTCCAATTCATCACCAATGTCATCAATACTAATTATTACCTGGTACCGTAATGATAAAAACCTTTCCTGAATGCGATCATTTCCTCAGTGGAGGCTTAATAACAAAAATTGATTATAATATATAGGTACCTAACGCAATAACCCAGATGCGGTACTTCTTAAAAAAAAAACAGAAACAAATACTTGTAATATAGTTTTTCGTATTATTTATTTTTTAAATACCCACTAAAAAAATTCTTAGTGATTTTTATGTCATTTTGTTCTTATTAAAATCCTACGTCAAAAAAATCGCGTGTTTTGAATGACTGTAGTGTATTTCAGAACTCCGTTCGCCTAAGCCATAAACCGGAATGATTATAAATCAACAATTATTACCCAGTAAGTAGACTTTACCGCGCTTCTTTTCTTAAAGAACAAGCTGTTCCCTTCTTTTCACAGGTAAGTGTTGAATCTAAGGGTGTCCTTGTCTTTTAATATAGGGCAAACGAGTTGAAGCAAGAAAACCATAGTGGATTTTCAGCATGGTTGCATAATATAGCGTTTCACTCAGCGGTTAAAGTAGTGATATTAAAATTGTTAAAGTACTGCATTTACGTGTACAAGAGGAACTGAGATGGCAATTTTTTTTAAAGTAACCTATTTCTTTACTATTTACAATTCATAAAACAAAACGAATCGTTTGTTCCATTGTGACAGTGATTTTGGAGAATTATCATCTCTCAACCGACCGACTGTTGAGAAACCCTGGAATCTGTCAATCTTTGGAACGGCTTATGGGTTAGACGAACGGAATTCTGAAATACACTATAACTAAAGCACTTTGGAGGTAATTCTAGTCAACTTAAGCTATTTAAGCAAAAACTTCGATGTGAGTATCCATTGTCGTTCGTTTATGGACATAAATATTCAAAATAATATACATATTAGTGTTAATGTTGCGAGAAACGTGAATGGGGACAGATTCTGCGTTTCCGCCAAAGTGTAGTTCCTTTCGGGGGTTTTAGTTACCAGAGGTTCAACTTGTATTGGGAAAATGGCAGCTTGAGAAGATTTATTGGTGCTCACTGTTCACAGCTACCGCTATCAACCAGGAAGGTTCTGTTGTTTCAAGTGTAACTGCCCATTCACAATGGACATAAGGCATAACAAGTACATAAAGCTTACATAAATACATAAAGTTGAAACGATGGAAAACGTGTACTCCTGTTCACAGTGGACGAAAGTAATTCTTATGCTTATGAACGTTTTATGTAATCCTTGTGTGCGTACACAAAGTTGAAATAAGTTCAACTTTGTGCACGAATTATGTCAAAATTATGTTAAAATCTAGGGACTTTTGAATGCTGCTATTGAATTCCCTTTGACAGTTGGCACTTGGCACTTCATACATTTGATTATATTAAATATATGTATATATTATAATCAAAGCTTCACACTGCGAGTCTGTTCTGTACTGCGAGTTGTCAAGTTCGAATATCGTACGAAATTGTAGGTTAGATATTTTGATTGACTCAGTTTGAGGTTAGCCGTTTCTATGTTTAGCCGGGAGTTATTCCGTTCTGCGTTTGCGCAGTTTAACAATTCTTACAGAGTTCACTGTGTCCACTGTGAACGTAGATAAGCATAAGCCAGACACAAACCAAAAATGTAAATTAGGTTATGCGCTCGTTCTTATGTCTTATGTCCATTGTGAATGGGCAGTAAGGGTGCTTTTTGGTGTGGATTAAAAACGTTGGGTCAGCAGTAGATGGACAGCTGATGCTCTTTTGAATAATACTTCATTATTGCACAACTATTATTGAATTAATTATGAAGACATATTGGAGGGAAAATTGCCACTACATCAGCAACTATATTGAATTATTAAACATTCCTTTCCGTTTTATTTTACTCTCTTATTTTCGCAGGCGCTCACCACCTGAGATCCGTGTCTCCGGCTTGAGAGCAACCCCGGCGTTGCCTCCCCCGGAGAGGAAGCTGGCGCCCGAGCGACCTAAGGTGCCACCCCCGGGCGGCGTGAAGGTCGCCGCATCAGCCTAGGTCGATCAGATGTGTTTTTTATATCAGCGGCACAAGTCAGCCCAAGTTTTGGCACCCAGGTACGCCGCCACCACACAATTTGGGAAACAGCAAGAAAGCTTGAAGATGGACTAAAGCAAACCTATGCCCTATTTATAAAACTGCGGTAAATTACAATGTGCGAACTATAAAGGAATAAGTATGCTTGCAAACATCCCACAAGTGAACACGCAGAAAGAAAATTAGGCGCGTGTGTAGGAGTACGAGTATGAGTAAAGCCGAGTTGCATGAAGTTCACAAAGAGTCTGCACAAGCGTCGAAGGAATTGAGATATTTAGGAATCAAAATTGAAGACAACGGAAAAAAAAACATGGAATACTTCGATCGTTCGTGAGATCTAAGTTTGTTTAAAAAAAAAAAATAAAGAAAGAATTGACAGAATAGTAAGATGAGCTACCATAACATACGGAAGTGAGACGCGGGTTTTAAATAAAGCAGAACAGCGTAAAGGATAGAACGCTGGGAGAGGAAAATGTTAAGGGTCATATATGGAGGTATTAATGGAAATGGGTGGAGGAGAAGAAAAGACCAAAAAAGAGAGTATATACAGCGAACCCAAAATAACAACATACATAAAAGCATAGAGAATCAGATGGTTGAGAAAGAACAAGCTCTCAGTCAAGGAAACCCGCTGTCAAAGATGTTATTTAATATGATATTGGAAACAATAAATAAGAAGTAAAGTAAAAACGAAAAAATTGGAGAGATTAGTGAAGGATAGAATCACAAAAATGGTGCAAGCAGAAAACCTATTGGGAAGAAAAGAAAAGAAGAAGATGGTTAGAAAGTGCGAGAGAAAATCGATAGAAAGTGTGTATAGAAGAATGGAAAAAAGTAAATCAACTTACTTACTAAAAACTACATAGATTTAGTTTTTAGTAACATTAATTGTCAAGTGGACGCCGCCCCATTAGAGCTAGTTCATGAAGATGTCCATCATCCTAGTTTATCTATTGACTTAGACTTTAACACTACATTGTAAAAGTTATTTCCCATCAACGACCGTAGTCAATTATTTAATTTCAGAAAAGCTAATTTTTCATTGCTGTATGAAATGTTACTTTCAACCAAATGGGATTTTCTAAATAATGTTAGTAATGTGGATGAGGCTTACTCTTTATTTTATGATAAATTGTACCCACCAAGAGGGTATGACCACCTCGAATTATTAAAGAGGTTTAATTTTATCTCACTAATTTATTGTTCCTGTAATTGGGTGCTGTATAACCTGTTGCAACTAAAATTATTATTAATATTATTATTATCTATTATTATTAAATTAAAATTATGCTGCCAAAAATGACAAGCCAAACTGATAAATGAAAACTTTCTAAAATGTATCGAAATTTTTTAATTAAAATAACAGCAATTTTTATTTTTTAAAACACAAATTAGTAATTTATTGCAAAACGAGGATTGGAAATTAAAGTAGAACCCTAATTCAGTCTATTTTCACCGCAAAAATCATCAGTACATTATTGTTATTATTAATATTATTAAAATACTTGTTACTTAAAAATTCACCCATGAGAGGATGTCTGTGTAAATAACCTCGCACATTTCACCCCAATATCACATTAGTACACTTGTGTATATGCTTTAAAATGTAGAGTTACCATATAAAAAATCAATAACGTCATACCTGCAACAATTAAGCCCGAAAATTAAAATTGTTTTCTTAAATGCAGTCCGTTTAAAAAATAAATGTCTCTGTTTAAACCGTTTTGTTTAAATATATTTGTAACATGTATATTTCTTATTTCGTAGACACATATAGGTAACACAATTTTGAAATTGTGAGACATTTTTTTAATATGGATTAAGTTAAAAAATAATAAAATAATGCAGTATAATATGCACTAACTTTGCTTAAATGAAATCAGAAAATCTGTTTTAAATAACAATGCTAGGAAGAAGTCAAATTTCCGGTATTTCTTTAAATCCAAGCCGGAAGAACCTAGGTATTTACGTAAGATTTGAATACGTTGCAAACTTCTTTCTCTTTCTCAATAGCTTAAATAAATACTGAAAAGAATACTACAAAAATAAAAGGATAATTTTCTAATAATTTCTATAGTAAACGTATGAAACAAGACAGTTTGTTCAAGACGCGAAGCATAAACAATAGCGTTTTACAAATAACAATAGAATGACACCCACTGAGATTTCTACAGCGAAATTGCAAGTGTAGTTATATAAACAAATAAATAAAATATTTGCTCTGCATTTGTCCATCAGATCTTTGACAGCAAACATGAATTACAAAATCTTAGTCGTAATATTATTTTCAGGCGCAGTTCTGAAAATAACTGCAGCCGCAGCAGTAGAAAGTGAAAACGATATAGGCCGGTAAGTGTACTGTATTTTTCGTATTCTTAGCATTGCTAACTATAAATTTGCAGAGGTCTGGACGCTAAGGGAATTTTAAATTCATTAGCAGGAAATTTAATGTCGCGTGGATACGGTACGACAGCAGCTGGAGGTTCCCAAGTGGTTTCCCTCAATTTAACGAATTTATTAGTTCTGGTACTATTAAAAGCCTTGATATTCGCTGCAGGATCTTTAGGAACTGGAACCTGGAAAGGAGGTTTGGCTCGAAGTAATGACGGTGAAGAACAAGTTTTGACTGAAGAAGAAATCCTGCTCTACTTGAGCTACTTAACAGGTATGTTTATATATGCATTGTCTTAGAAATGAATAAGTACCAAGTGTTCAAACAAAATAAATTATATTATAACAAATACATAATGGTAGTCTAAGTTTCAAAGCATATCTATCTACAGTGTAATTTTATCTCATTAAACGTAGTATTAAATGAAGAAGACACCAATAAGCTTAAAACATCGCCTTGAGGGGCTCCGCATTGGCCTGTCACCTACTAACGTCACATAAAATAGACTGTGCTATCAATTACCATTGAAAATTGTTTTCCAGGTTCGCCAGGTGACAACGGCTGCCTCCAAAGCGTGGCTTGCCACCAACCACAACAGGCGAAAAAGTACGTTGCTGCTGGTGACATGTTACTAAAAGCATCGAAGGTGATGTCTCTTAATCCTGACAGGAGCTACGAATACGTTTTAAAAGAAGTGGAGCAAGCTGCTGACGTCGGTTTAGCAGGAGGTGATTGCTCCAGATTCACGTGTGGTTTAGGAACAGATAAACAATGATTCAAACAGAATTGATTGTTTCAATTTTAGAGAGTGCTAGTCTATATGAGTTTTTGGGTCAGCAAACATATTTTAACAGATTTTAATGCATCTCATTTACATAAATAAATTAGTGAGTTTTGGCAGGCGAAGTTTCGTTCGATATTAACAACCTCATTAACTTTTAATCAGTCTTAACGACGAGTGGTCAACAACCTGCACAAAATTTTAGATTTGTAGAATATAAACAAGCAGATTGGAAAAAGTTTTTGCGGATGTGAAATATTTTAAAACAACTCTCTACAACTGGTGTGTGACAAAAAAGGCGAGCTGGCGCCAGTAACTGCCTTCGCAAACGTAAATGCTTAAATTGGAGATTTTATAGCGTTAAATTGGCCTAAATGTTTCGAAATGAATCCGGATTTATTCAAAATTCTTTCAATTTTTTTATTCTGTTGACGTAGTTTGTTTGTTTTTTAGATCTGTAAGATTTTTATTGTGAGCGTTAGACAGTTGACAACCACTTTATAATAAATGTAAATATCATAACAAAAACATTATCATTATCATAAAACACTTGTTTAACTAGTTTTTAACTGCTTTTTCACGACGAGTACAAGTTAAAAAAAAATCTCGCAAAAGTTCCAAAGAGTGTTAGAAAAACAACTGATACAAGATTTTTTGTACGTTTGAATTTTACCAGAAAATAATAATTTTGTACGAAAATTATGAGTATTTATTCATTGTATCTTGCCGCTTTTCATTTTTTAAATAAAACATAGTTTCTTCTTACAAACTGATTCATTTTGTAAGAACTTTTACGCTTAAAGAAAAAAAAAATGCGTTAGCAAGATAATTTTTATATATAATTATTTTAATACACTATTATTTTGATAAACAAGAAATGTTAATATTAATACGTTACTTGTTTTCATTATTATACGAAAAATCGTTGCTGTTTTTTTTTTTATAACTTTGAGATAAGAACTAATCTGTACATAATAGCTTTTAGTGTTTTTTTATGTCTTTATGGTACTTATAAAATTGTATTTATGGATTGAAATAAAATATGAAATATCTCACTTGAAATCGTTTACCTAATGTGCTGAGGTAAGAATTTAACTCGCTGGTGGGACCTTACAGTCTAATATTATCAAATTAAAATAAAGCTAAGTACCTACTTATATACAGACAATTAGGTTTACATTGCTCTAAGCAACATAAAATAAAAATGTCTGTACAGAATTGTTTATGAGAAGAAAAGATCTTTAAAAATATCTTGCAGAAACCCCAAGTTAGCAAATAAAGAAATGGTGAACATTTTGAAAATAATACATATACACATATACACTTAAATCAACGGTTAGTCCTTCCTAATGTGCAAAACAGTGCTTACTGCGACTATTTTGTGATAGACAACTTGAAACGAATAATAAATCTTCCAAAAATTGTTGTTATTTTTTCTAAATATTGTAGTTTTATTTTCAGTGTCAGATGCTTTTTTAGAGTAGCAAAAAGTGGATAAATGTGCAAAATGTAAAAATACTAGAGGTCATTAGTGGTAATGTACATAAAAATGGATGGCAACAATAGAAATTCAGATTGTAGTCAAAAAAATTGCTTTCGATTAGAAAGCTAATGTGTAAGTATCCCAGTTCAAAAAGTGAAACCTGAACTAACCATAAATGTTTCAATGTGTCATTTTTAATGTTATTAGAAAATAATTATTTCCTAAAAAATTAAGCCAACAAAATAAAATTAAAGTATTTAGAAAAACCTTGCTTAACACATTCTTCAATAATTCTAGCATGTTTTGGGCTCAGTTGAATTTATTAAAAAAAATAATATTTCTTTGATCTAACGGGAATGTCAGCAGTTATGTTTAATTATTTAGATACTTCGTCTACCTCCTACTTCTGTTTCCTATGTATGTATTTCATCTATCTCATAAAAAAATATTAGTGCTCGTTTCCCAGTCAAAATTTAAAGGGATCATTATTACAGTGAATGTGGCCACTTAAGGCATCCGAAATACGATTCTTTTTTATTCTAGCTCTTGCAAATATCTTCGATTCATTGTTTTTTTCAGTGTGATATCCATTCATTTCATTTCATGCTCTGTTTCATGGGTAATGTTTTCACCACATCTTTACAAATTCTAATTTGTTTTGAATATCCATATTTTGGTTTTCTTTTGAATGTTCGTCCTCTACGTACCTGAATTAGCTACATTTAAAATAAGCCCCCGATTTCTTAAACTTAAACCAAATGCCGGACCTCTATGTACTTTAAAAAGACTTTGCAGCAGATTAAAAAATTTAAGGAATGGAGAATGGAGGCAATATCCTTGCGACCTGCAATACATACCTACTATATTAAATTCAAAATATCGTTTTCGCTTCCACCTTTTCCTGTTTCGCCATTTATCTGACGCTAAGGCACAGCAACAGCAAGATTACAAAGATTTCTATAAACAAATCCTGATTTTCCTTCTGCTGTGTTTTCTTCAAGTGAATCAATTATTGCAAATGGCTTCATTCTTGCGTACGTAAACTTCTTTACAGAGGTGGATTTGATGAGGTGAGGCCATACCGATCATTCCCTAACAAAATGTTATTAAATGATTTTAATTTGCTGTCGCTCAAAGAAAGAAGGACGTTCGCCAACATTTACTTTTTATTTAAATTAATACATGGGTACACTGTTAGCAAAAACTTACTTAGTCAAATAAATTTTCATGTTCCACGATCAAATTGTCGGTATTCAGGCAGTTTCATGATAAATTATAGTAGGACCAACCAACATTATTTTTCGCCATTGAACAACATGTGCCGTCGCTATAATGATGTAGCACCAATTATAGATATTTTTGTTACTTCTTTTTTTTTAACTCTATTTAGTGTTAGTAATTAATTTGTGAGTTTATATTTATCCTTTTGGACCTTCGTCTGTTGGATAATAAAATTATTATTATTATTATTAATATTAATATTATTATACCGAAGCCAGGCAAATCTCCCAGACTTAAGAAAAGCGTGTATTATATTACGTTTTTCTGCCACCGACACCAGTAACGCTAAATATAACTAATAACTAAAAAATAATATTTAACAAATTATCAGGAACTCGTTGAATGTATTTTTTTACACGCATGAAATTTTCTAAAAAGTAGTTGTTCAAAGTGCAAAATGAGTAATTCAAGTAATTTAAGAGCAATAGAAGACGCTACCAGTATTGTTTGCGCCTCTCTTGTTACATGAAAAATCTAAATTACGTTATGGTCAAACTTACAAAGCATTTTCAAATTGCTGTACATCACGAAAGATTCGAAAACCCATAGGCGTCGTACCGGAGCGGCATATGGGTTTATTTCGCAACATTGCCCCCTCCTTAGTCCTGATCGTCTCAAACAGAAACGTCAACGGTGTTACTGTTGTACTTCATGAGGCGATCTAAGTCTTCGGCCCTTGTTAAATCCTGTAAACGACATCGTTGATTCTCGTTACCTTTCCATCTTCGGGGGCTATAAATCCATACCAAATCTCCTGCTTCTACTTCCAAAGCGCGTATGAGAGCATAAGCTGATGTCTTTCATCTAAATACTTGTAACTTCTTCTTGACTTCACGTCGCGAATGCCGTTGATAAAAGTTTCTGTTGCAAACCTCTCTTGAATAGTACTGAGTAGGAGTATGTTAAACGTACCAATCGTTTGACATCTGCTACAAGTTCTTATAGAAATTCTCTAACTTTCTGCTTTCTTGTCTTTAATTGGACCGCAAAAGTTTGCTTTAAATGTTGATCCCCAAATCGAAGTTCTAGAGCAGCATTTAAGGTACAATATTTGCTTATATGTTCATCAGACGGGTCTGAAGTACCTCTAACGCTGCCCCTCGCATAGCTATCACAAGACTGTAGCCCTCTGTTCTTCTTCCCAACAGTTTACTGTCGCTGCTGCTTCAAACTGCTTCTTGTACGATGACCAAGGTGTATGGCCATCATAAGTAGGTGGTTGAATCGTTCTGGAGGCTGATGTCACATAACATGAACCAGTGGTTGCTGCATTTTTTATCATCTTTTCAAATTTATTCATTGTTTTCTCCATTCGATCTTCTACAATTTCGATTAGATTTTCCATGTTGTTTTTCCGTCCTTCATTTCTTCTATTTCAATCTTGTTTGCTTCCACTTACTTTTGGAATTTTAAAAGTGGTAGAACCACATCTTTTTCCCTTCTTAAGAACGCAACCTGAGCTTGTTTTTCAACAAGACAATGCGCGTCCACACATGGCTAAAAACATTTTAAACTTTTTTGAAGAGTTAGAAGTGGAGTTATTGCCGTGGCTTCCTAGATCTCCTGACCTCTCACATATAGAGCATGTGGGATATGATGGGACGACGTTTAACTCATCTTCACTACAAGTTGCTAGAGATGAATTAAATCAGGATGACATTGATCGACTCATTAGGTCCATGCCAAGACGTGTAAACAAAGTTCTCAATAATAGGAGTGCTGCAACCCATTACTAGCTTAGGTGTTAACATTTCCATTTGAATTTTTCATCCTTTATTAGTAGTAAGTAGTATTTAGTAAGATTTTCAAAAAATTATTATTCTATCCTGGTGTTCGGATTTTTTCTGGCACTTAGTATATCAAATTCCACTTCTGAGACCCGTGTTACATTTTTCAGGTATTAAAATCGGCGTGGGTAAAACGCAACAAGTTATTTTTCAGTACTAACTATACAGCGATTATGTACAGAATAATTTCGACGCGATTGGAATGGATTTAACTAGACTTTAATTCTCTCATTGACTGGACTTCGACTAGCCATTTCCGACGGTGGTCCCTATTTCGAAGTTGTTCTGGAGTCGGCCATCGAGACTTCCAGCACCACGCCGCCTTCACCGATGATGAGTCACTGACGCTCATCGTCATACATACTAGAAAACCCATAGGCGTCGTACAAGGGCGGCATATGGATTTATTCGTTACAATATTATTAAATAATTATAAAAGAAACTTCAAGTGTATTGCTGTTCTTAACTAAAACGAAATAAGCATTGTCATTTCTTTGACAT